ACACACCCTAGGTCTCCCGCCCACGCGCCTTCCGTCCACACTCTGACTCCAAGCGCTTCCTCGGGGACAGCTGAAGCCTCTCCACGGAGCCTCCCTCTGGGGCTGGAGGACACGTGGGGGTCCAGGATATGACAGATGCCTCCCAGGTGTCACGCACAACACCACAACCAACAGTCCCTGTTTCCATTTGAAAACTGGCATGGCTGCACCTGAATCCCCACTTCTTTCTTTTTCCTCTGTGGAGCTGGGATTTGAACTCAGGGCCTTGCTCTTGCTAGGCAGGTGCTCTACCTCAAGGAGGACTTGAGTCACTCCTACAGACCATATTTTGCTTTAGCTATTTTTTGGATAGGGTCTCATTTGTCCAGGGTCAGTCTCAGACTGTGATCCTGCTACCTATGCCTCCTACATAGTTGGGATCACAGGCATGCACCACTGCCCCCGACTCACTAGTTGTGATGGGGTCTCACTTGTCTGCACTAGCCTCAGACTGCATGGTTTTCAAACTCCACCTCTTGCAGAGCTGGATTACAGGCGTGAGCCACTGCGTCCGGCCTCAATTTTCTTATTAACAGAAAGGGGGTGGGTTGGTGTGCCTACGTACCAGAATATAGTCTTATCATTGGTAATTCTGTTCCCTGTTCTCAGCCCAGCCCCAGCCCTGGCTCAGAACCTGGTCAGAGCTGACTTCTGCAGGGCTCAGAACCCAGAGCTTCCACCATGCGCTGCCCGTCAGGACCTTGGACAGCAGCTCAGGTGCAGGGTGGGGGTGGGGGGGTTTGAGAGAGCAGCCTGGACGCCATAGGCCTTAAGGACAAAGGAAGATAACTGCAGCAAGTCCTGGAGCCCCGAAGTTAGTGCTGCCCACTGCCGATCTCCTCCCACCGACTTTTGCCTTTCAGAGAAATCAGAAGCTGTAGCTGGAAGCAAGGAGGGTCTGGCAGAAGAAGTCAAGGTCACAGCCCCCTGGACGTGAGCCGGGGAGGGCAGGGCCTGGCTCTGGGGCGGGCTCTGTGGGCCTCCTTGGACAAGACCCTGTTCGACTTGAGTTCACACTGACACTATAAAAGGCACCGATGCATCGTGGTTGTTATTTTTTTGAAATAAAACTCAGCCTCAAGGAAGAAGGGGATGTTTGTCTAATTCAAATAAGTCACCAGGACAGAAGTGAGGTGGCAATGAGCCTGCTGGCGGACACAGCAGAGCAAACATGGTCTGTTTCCATCTTGTTGACATACATGTGCAGCAGAACAGGAAATTACTCTCCGTGGTGCCTGTTTCATCTGTTTAATTGCTGCTTGATAATAAATTACAACACAGAGTCCATTAATTAAGCTAACGATGCCCGTGGAATGCCAGGCTCTTGTTTGGGAGTCGCCTGGTTAGAGGAGCTGTGGTTCAGTCTATCCACATTGCTCAGGAAGCACTTCTTTTTTCTTGCTTGCTTTTTGCAGTACTGGAGCTTGAACTCAGGACCTACACCTTGAACCACTCCACCAGCCCTTTTTTGTGATGGGTTTTTTTGAGATTGGGTCTCTTGAACTATTTGCCGGGGCTGGCTTTGAACCGTGATCCTCCTGATCTCTGCCTCGAGTAACTGGGATTACAGGCGTGAGCCACCACACCTGACAGGAAGCAGTTTTAAAGAGGCCAGGTGCCTGGTGGGAAGGCAGGACTCCTGGCTTAGAGGGACTTGACCCTGGGAAGGAGGTGGGCAGCTTTGGTGAATGAGCGAGGGCCAGGCTGGTTGCTGGAGCGCAGTGCCCAGGGTGCACACTGATTCCGAACGTGTGGCAGAGCAGAAAATAGCATTACACTTGTTTTGAAAAATGAGCAGGTGGACAGCAACCAGAGTCACTTAGAGGTGTGTGTTCTGGGGCCAGGAAGAGCCACGAGCAGTCTGACTCGGTTTGATGTTCTAGAATCAGCTAAATGTTCATTGGGAAAGTTCTGCACTCAGGTAGAACTGGTGAATGATGAAGTCTAGCTATTTCTGAATGGTGGCCCTGGTACCATGCTGTGTCACTGAAGTCCCACCAGGAAAGCAACCTGGTGCCTGCCTTCTGTCTGGGGAGGGAGGGTGGAGGTGGTCGCCTTCAGGGTGAAGGGCCTTATTCTGGCTGGATCTGTTTAGCAGGTGCCCACCTGGCAGGATCTCAAGGGAGGGGATAAAGAGGAATAAAGGGTCAGGCACTGGTGGCTCATGTCTGTAATCACAGAAAGCTGAGATCAGGAGGATCATAGTTCTAGGCCAGTCTGGGCAAAAAGTTTGAGAGACCGACCCCACCTTAATCAGGAAACCAGCTATGGTGGAGCACGCCTATCATCCCGGCTACTGCAGGAAGCATAAATAGAAGGATCACAGTCAAGGCCAGTCAGGGCATAAGGGAGACCCTACCTTTAAAATAACCTGAGTAAAAAGGGCTGGGGTGTGGCTCAAGTGGTACAGCATCTGTCTTGCAAGTGCAAAGCCCTGAGTTCAAATCCCAGTATCACAAGAAACAAACAACAAAAAACCCCAGAACCACCAGAAAGGAAACAAAAAAAAGAGGACTGAAGACTCTGGAAAGGTGAGGTGGGCAAGGAAGACGAGGTACTGATGTGTGCCCAGACTGGAGGTGTGGGCATCCGGAGGGCGTTGGAGGAGCTCTAGGTGCTCAGGGTTGACCGAGGGCAGGGGGTGCTGGGAGGAGGTGACCACAGGGCCACAGATGTCACACACAGCCATCTTTAGGTCCTGATCTGTAGGTTCAACCAAGAACTTTCTGAGTTTTGAAGCCTTCCCCTGAAACCCTGGTTAGAGCCACGCCAGGAAGCCCTTGATCTCTGGGAGCCATTTTTGGGCCCATTTTCCCCTAACGTGCGCTGGTGGCCGGTAAGCCGCAGTGAATAGGCACTCAGTACAAACGTCACCTGTCAGATCAGAAAGTGAGACCTGGGAGTTTCGCGTTGCCCTACAGCTAATCCCGGCATCTCCCAAAACTGGAAGTCAAGTCCAGCCAGGTGTGGAGGTCCCCCAGGCTCGGCGTCCAGCTTCGGCTGTCGGGACTGGAGCTGGGCCACAGGAAGATGGGCTGCGGGGTGTGCTGGGCACTGCCACCCGTCCTGTGGCCCCACTCTTCATTGGTACTGGACCAGCATCCCCATCCATCCTTCTGCCTCGCAAACATCCTCAGGGCACAAAACTCCTGACAGTTAGACAGCTCGATGCGGGGGTTATTTCAGCTCACTCCAGCAGTGTCAGTCGCCATGGGGGTGGAGCAGAGCCGCCCACTTCGGGGGGGGAGAGAGAGAGAGAGAGAGAGAGAGAGAGAGAGAGAGAGAGAGAGAGAGAGAGAGCGCGAGCGCACGCACCGAGCTAGCAAGCTCTCCTTTCTCCTGTTCGGCACCAGCCGCAGCTGTGGGGTCTGTCGCCCTCACCCAGGGCGGGTCCCCTCGTCAGTGCCCCCCACACACGCCCCGGTGCGCGGCACTGACGTCCCGGGAGTCTCAGCCCAGCGCCTGCGCGGCGACCAAGGCGGCCCGGAGCCTCCGCGTGCGCGTGCGGGAAGAAGCGCGTGCGGGAAGCGCGTGCGCGTGGACTCTGCACGCGTGTACAGGGCAGCAGGGCGCGGACCTCACTTCTCTCTTTACAGACCAACTGCGACGCCGAGAGCGACGAGGACATCCTGACCGAGCACCACCTTTGGTCCCTCATGGAAATGTGTCCCTAGCTTGTCACTTGTCCTTTGTGACTGCTGTCTGACACACTGATGTTTAAAATTTTTATGAACACCAAGTCTAATGACATGTTTGGATTTGTGCTCCCTCCGTCTTCTAACGGAGTTCGTGCTAAGGGCTTTGTTTTCTCTCCCCCTCCCTCCCCCCTCTCCCCAGTCTCTCTTCCCCCTCCCTCTCTCTCCCCCTCCCTTCCCCCTCCCCCTCCCTCGCTCATCCTCCCTCTCTCTCCTCCTCCCTCTCTCTCCCCTTCCCTCTCTCTCTCCCTCTTCCCATCCCTGTCCCTCCCTCCCCCCTTTCTGGCTAAAGGTTTTCCCCTTTCCAAGCTATGTCGCCTGTTCCCCGAAAGACTGGAAACACTTTCCTCTTTCTCAGTAGCGCTTCGCTCTTGCACCAGCACTTATGACCCAGGACACACGGACCAAACTGAGGGTGGCCCTCCAGGGTGGACCTGTCAGCTGTCTCAAGAGGAATTTGCTCCCTATTTCTCCCATGTCAGGGGCAGAAGCATTTGGTGACAGTGACAGCATACAGACATCTTTGCATATTAGCAATTAGCCTGAAAATTACTTAATTTCTTTTCCTTCCTTCCTTTTTTCTTTCCTTCCTCCCTCCCTCCCTCCCTCCTTCCCTCCCTTTCTTCCTTCCTTTCTTTCTGTGGTACTGAGGTTTGAACTCAGGGCCTCCACCTTGAGCCACTCCACCAGCCCTTTTAGGGATGGAGTTTTTCAAGATAGGGTCTCGAGAACTATTTGCCCAGGCTGGCTTCAAACCATCATCCTCCTGATCTCTGCCTCCTGAGTAGCTGGGATTATAGGCGTGAGCTGCGGGTGCCATCTCCTTTTCTTTTTAATATGAAGCACACATATTGATCCTTTTGATATCTGCACTGATGGATCCATTTATGAGTCTTTCCCCTAGCTTCTGTAACCAGAAAGCTTCCTACTTTTTTGTGTGGTGGCACTGGGATTTGAACTCAGGGCCTTACTCTTGTTAGGCAAGCGCTCCACCCCTTGACCCATACCCTTTTGGCTTTAGCTCTTTTTCAAATAGTACGTGCATTTGTCTGGGGCTGGCCTCATTCCACGATCCTCCCAATTTCTTCCTCCTGAGTAGCTGGGATTACAAGCATGAGCCACCATGCCTGGCCCCCACCTTCACTTAAAAATTATCAGATAGGGAACAATGACTCAAGTAGAGGGTCACAGAAGTTTCCAGAAGTCCCCCAAGGCCCCTCTGGGCTGGTGATTTTACTCCCTTCCTGTTCACAGGTGAGTGCCTACCTGTGGTCCCCAGCCGTGACACGGGTACAGTATTGCTGTGTGGTTCTCCAACGGGCCCTGGTCCAAACAGACATCTTTTGCTTTGTTGTTCCGAAGCTGCAGAAGCAGAGAAAACATCATCTGTCAGAGCTACATACAGGACACGCCACTTCCCAGTCACCACTCCACCGTGCCTTGTGGTGAGGTCATGACAGAAGGCCACAGGATGCCACCAAGTGGCGGCCAAACTCAATGCTGACACCTGATCACCAGTGAGAAAGATGGAGTCTCCCAGGGGGTGGCGGAGGCACCGGCCCTGTGTCTGTGTCCTGGGCAGCCTGACCTCCACCCTCCATCCAGCTCTGCAGCATCAAAAAAGATCTTGGAAGGGCCAGGTGTGGTGTGCACACCTGTAATCCCATCCACTTGGGAGGTAGAGATTGGGAAGACCCTGGTCCCAGGTAGCAGGCAAAAACACGAGACCCTGTGTGAGTAACTAAAGGCAGACGGCTGGGGTCGTGCCTGTGTAGCAAGTGCCATGCCCCAGGGCTTCGCCCCACTGGAGGACCCACAGGCCACTCCTAATAGGAAGTGACCTCCCAGCTGGGAGGAAGTGACTTCCCAGCTAAGAATCAAGGACATAGGGAGCCATGCCGCGGCAGGCTATCTGGATTTTTGCTTTCTATTGCGGCGTTGTCTCTGTTGTATACGCATTGTGCTTTTCATATAATTCAGGGTAAAAGGGAAGAAAAAGACGAGCAGAAATGATCAAGGGACCAGGGTGGCTCAAGGACAACAAGAGCCAGCCACTGCCTTCTAGACAGATGCGTTAATGGCCCAGTGTCTTTGTGCACACTGGAGAGCTTTAGCAGGATGAAAAGTCAAATTTCACTAAGAGTCAGGATGTAGATAATTTGTGTGCCTTTGTTTAGAAGTTATTTTAAGACAGTCCAGTTCTGTAGCTTAAGGTGTGCACCAAAGTTCACATGTTGGCAACCTGGCCCCCAAAGTCACTTGGGGGTGATCAGAATGGGATGAGGTCACGAGGGTGGAGCTCCCATGATGCACCAGCGACTTTACAAGAAGCGCAGGAGAGGTCTGAGCTGGCAGCTTGCTCTGTCTCCCCACATGATGTCCTCCACCATGTTGGATGAAGCACAGAAGACCTAGGAGATTCCGGTGCCAAACTCTTGGGCATCCAGAACCATGAGCCAAGTCAATTTTTCTTTATAAATTACCCAGTTTCTGGTATTTTGTGATAGTAACAGAAAATGAAAAATCAGCTAATGGAGATGAGCAAAAAATTAAAAACCAAGGACAAGTGATTTGTCCTCTGGTGGGATTGGGTGTCAGTGGTGTTGTGGAGTGAGATACACCCGAACATGTGCTCAAAGATGTCTGTCTGTCCTTTCCACCACACTGGGGTCTGGGTGTGGCAAAAAGAACCAGCTAGAGTGAGCACTGAACACCAACTCCAGAAATGGTAAATGTTGGTAATCTAATTGAATTTGGTTAATTTTCTTTCTTTCTTTCTTTTTTTTTTTCAGTACTGGGGTTTGAACTCAGGGCCTACACCTTGAGCCACTCCACCAGCTGTTTTTTGTGAAGTGTTTTTTTGAGATAGGGTCTCATGAACTATTTTCCTGGGCTGGCTTTGAACTATGATCCTCCTGATCTCTGCCTCCTAGTAGCTGGGATTATAGGTGTGAGACACCAGCGCCTGCAATTTGATTTCTTTCATTTGCTGTGATTGTCCATTTGAAATACATTTCAGTGTAAGATGTGCCCAGCAAGTAGGGGAAGAATCACAGACGCAAATGTCCTAAAATGTTAGCATTGATCCAATCTGGGATTTGGAATTCAGAATGTTATTTTCATCTTTACATTTTCCAAAGCATGTAGGCATTGGGTTTATTTTTAAAATAAAGGAAAATTTTCTAAAGAAAAAAACTTCCCCCTTAAGAAAATAATCAGAATATGATTTCTGTTTTCTCCCAAGGTCACCAGGAGTTATTTACACTGTGGCTGATGTGAACGGCAGTTCTCGGAATTGTGCATTGCACAGACTGTCGGACTGTACCTGGCGACCCTGGCCACCTTCTAGCATATTCTTGTTTTTCACCTTTCTTTTTTAATACTTGTTTTTCTTCTAGTTATGAAATAAACGCAGAAAACATTAGTGAAAACTGTATCACACAAAATTTGCCTGCAATCCCACCACCCCTGGCAACTGTAGCCCTTAAGTGGCTGCCAGCTGCCTCCTTTTGTCATCTGACATCAGCTCTTCACCACTATGGCAACAATATTTTTCTTACATTATTAAAATTTTGTACACACTATTTGTACCGCCTGCCAAATTGTTTAAACTATAAATATATTATCTTAACTAATCTTCAAGTGAAATTCAAATATAGTTTTTGTTCCAAAATATAAAATCACTGAAATGAACAAATGTATTCTCAATTCTTTGTCCCTGTTTCAGATTATTTGTTTGGGATAAGAGTGAGGAAGCAAGTATGACTGCCATTAAGCTTTTTAATATGTGTAGTTCAAATTGCTTTTTTAAAAGCTTGCTGTAATTTGGAGTCTCACCGGAGGATATGCAATTCTTCATATTACCAAGACCTTGTGAAAAAAGCACCAATATCCATTCCAAAAATGAATCTTCATTCATTTGTCAGGAAGGGAAATGCTACCACAATTTGCTTAAAGACTTATTTCACTTTCTCTGAATATGAAACAAATTTTTAAATTTCCATGTGTTTTTAAACCTCTTGCATTTTCTCTTGCTTAACTGTATTTGGCTATTTTCCTTTGGGAAGGCTTCATTTTGCTATTTAAATCAGAGTTTGGGCTCATGACAAATTAATGGCTATATCCTTTCACCTGTAGAATTTCTGGCACATATGTTTCCCTGGTCAGATGAGGTATAGGTCATTTTTGTATTTATCAGTTCAGATCCATTGCGCCCCTCTTCTGTTTTTCCTTCCTTGGCTTTCATTTTCAGGACGTCCTTTCCCCACTCAGAGATCAGATTCATCTTGAGTTCCCTATGATTCTTTTGATTTGTTTTTACTGAATGTCCAAGTCTATCTGAAATATATCTGGTGTATAGTAAGCTGTAAGAATTTAAACTGACTTCTTTTCTAAAGAGCTAAGCAATTTACTCAATTGTCTTAGGAAATAATCCATTCTTGCCCATCATTTTTGATACCTTTCATAATTGATTTTCCTTTGATAACAAAAAAAAATCACACACTTCGATTTTGAAGAGAAGACAAGGAAGCTAGGGCCTAATAATAACTATGGTTGTGCTCCAGGAACTGCTCCCAGAACTCCACAGAGTGGGGCTCACTTTCCCTCCCAATGACCCATGCACGAGGGTTGTGCACTGTGTACTTTCATGTCTCCCATTTTACAGATGAAGAAATAGAAACCAAAGCCAGGTGTGGTGGCTCATGCGTGTAATCCCAGCTACCTGGGAGGCAGAGATCAGGAGGATCAGGGTGTGAGGCCAGTCTAGGCAAATAGTCTGTGAGACCCCATCTCCAAAATAACCAGAGTAAAATGGACTGGCGGTATGGCTCAATTGGTAGAGCTCCTGCTTTGTAAATGCAAAGTTCTGAGTTCAAAACCTAGTCCCATAAAAAGAAACCAAAATGGAAGCCAATACAAGCCACCTGGCTGGTACCAACCAGCTCAACAGGATTTGAATCCCATGTCCCTAACTGTGACAGAATCCTCGCCTTGCCAAAAGTGAGCGTCCCTCTCTGAACTCCAGCTTGGACTGGTTATCACCTCGCACCCTGATTATCTAACCTGGGCTTGACCTCCTTTCTCCAAAGGGACAACAAAGAACAGGAAAATTCACAGTGGGAGGAGAAATGGATATACTCCAAGTGCAAGGGAGGTGAAGGCTTCACCCTGGTAGTCCTGGGGAGTCCCAGTAGGTGTGGGGAGAAGACCATATGGTGGAGCTGGCAGGGGTCTCTTGCTGAGCTGGGTCCTCTGCTCCCTGGCCTGGCTGTGTCAGGGATTCTACCTCTAGGCAGGCATTGCCAGCAAGTGTGGAGGGAGGCAGAACCCATACAGTGTGTGAGACCCGTAGAAAACACCTGGCATCAGAGCAGTCTTGATGGGTGTGCTTTGCTGTTACCGTCATTTTTAAATCTCCCTAAAATGCATATGTCTGCATTTATAATAAAAGTCCATTTGTTTTAGCATACTGAAAGGTGAGCCAGGTGCCGGTTCACTCCTGTAATCCCAGCTACTCAGGAGGCAGAGATCAGGAGGATCACGGTTTGAAGACAGCCCTAGGCAAAATAGTTCACAAGACCCTATCTCAAAAAAACCTAACACAAAAAGGGCTGGTGGAGTGGCTCAAGGTGTAGGCCTTGAGTTCAAGCCCCAGTACTGCAAAAAAAAAAAAAAAAAAAAAAAATCAATGTTTTGGGAGGTGAGATTATTTCACCATAGATCCGAGCAGACTGTCTCTTCTCTCTTGGATGTTATGTGGCTCTGGTTCGCAGCACTGAGCAGTGTTTCTGATTTAGGAGTTTTTCCAGCTCTGCTTCTTTTCTCTTGTCTACCTTCCTGCCCAGCACCTCCACTTACAGCTCCCAGAGGGTCTCAAGGTCAAAATGTGTCAAATGGATCAACACTACGTACTGCACAGATGACGTTTTGTCCTGTGTCTGTCAGAACATTTACTCTTATCACATTTGCTCCCAGACCCTTGACAGCTGGAGGGAGCTGGAGGCTGCACTGGCACCTCCAAGAATGGATGGATGGATGAGTGGATAAATGAGTGAGTGTGTGAATGAATGAATGAATGGATGAATTAATGAGTGAGTGGATGAATGAATGGGTGGATGAGTGAATGAATGGGTGGATGAGTGAATGAATGGATGGATGAGTGAATGAATGGATGGATGAATGGATGGATGGATGAGTGGATGAATGGATGGATGGATGAGTGGATGAATGGATGGATGGATGAGTGGATGAATGGATGGATGGATGAATGGATGGATGGATGAGTGGATGAATGGATGGATGGATGAGTGGATGAATGGATCGATGGATGAGTGGATGGATGGATGGATGAGTGGATGGATGGATGGATGAGTGGATGAATGGATGGATGGATGAGTGGATGAATGGATGGATGGATAGATGAGTGGATGAATGGATGGATGGATGAGTGAATGGATGGATGGATGAGTGAATGGATGGATGGATGAATGGGTGGATGGATGAGTGAATGAATGGATGGATGGATGAATGGGTGGATGGATGAGGGAGTGGGTGAATGAATGAGTGGGTGAATGAATGAAGGATGGATGAGTGACAGTGAAGCACTGCACAGCCTACTGAATAGCAGTCCCCTAAGCGAGCAGGCAGGTCTCCTCACCTCCCCGTAGGCAACGGTGTTGTTGTATCTTCTCATTTCCGGGTAGACGTGGTCCAGGTACCACTGGAAATTCTTACACTTCAGACTCTTCCTTAACGCTCTTCTTTCAGACACATCGCCTATGTCAATCCCTGGGTTCTGAAAGCAGAGAGAGGCAAGAGGTGTCAGTGACAGGGGACTCTGGTCACAACAGGGGACAGGTGGCACCCCTTTCAGAGAAGACCTGAGCTCCGCAGTCTTGCTTGGAAGGTTCTAGGAGAACTGCTTGACTGGCTGAGACCCAGGCAAGGAACGGGCCTTTCCAAGCACACTCAGGAACCCCCAGCCCCATCGCCGTCTTTACCATCCCTGGTCAAACGGTCCCTGGGATGCACGAATGCCAACCATCTATGTCCTCAGCAATTCTCTCTCATTGCGTCTGTAACCCTCAGAGCCAATTATCAGAGGAATTATTTGTTTAAGACAAGAAAATAAATGCCTATAACTTCCTCCTATCTTTCTTTTGCATACATCTGCAATTCCCCTTTTGTGAGCTCAGTGTGAAGCTCATTTTAGGCAGGAGAAAATAATTCTCCACTGCAAAGCTTGTAATGATGTTCTAATGAATAATTCACTTTGCTTTTTCAGAAATGAACCTGTAATGGGTGGCTGTGCGCTGACGGGGGAAATAAAACATCTGAAATACAACTCTACTTCTCAGCTGCAAGATGGCTGCATGTGGAAGGCAACAGGATGATGGCTTCTCTGCAGGGGGTGGCCAGGTGGGCTTGGGGTGGGGCCAAGGGGAAGGTCAAATCATTTCATTGAGACTTCTTCTGCAGTCACACAATGTTTCAAGGAGGAACTCCTTTAAATGTCAAACTTATTAAAATTCAAAGGCAAACCTGAGCTGCAATATTTAACTCTTTGCTTGAATATACTTAATATACTTAACATAACTCATGAAAACAGTCATTTTTTTGGTGGGACTGAGATTTGAACTCAGGGCTTCCCCCTTGCAAAGCAGGCACTCTACAGCTTGAGCCACTCCTCCAGTCCATTTTGCTCTGCTTATTTTGGAGAACTATTTGCCCTGGCTGTCCTCAAACCATGATCCTCTCAATCTCAGCCTCCCAAGTAGCTGGGATTACAGGCGTGAACCACCATGCCTGGCAAAAAGAAATGGGCATGAAAAAAAAAGTGCAAGGCTACCTTTCCCATTTGGAACCAGGAATACAGTAGTCCTCCATTTCCTGGGGTTTTGTTTTCTGCAATTTCGGTTGGCAATAATTAACCATGGTTTAAAAGTATTAAGTGGGAAATTCCAGGAGTAAACAATTCAGAAGTTTTGAGTTAACTGTGATAACTGTACTTTGTTACTAGTTATTGTTATTAATCTCTTACTGTGTCTAGTTTATAAATTAAACTTTATCATAGATATTATGTGCAGGAAAGTGCAGAGGCTGTAACAGGCTGAGCATGCTTCATATACTGAAGTACTTAGGGCCAGGAGTGTTTCAAATTTAAAATTTTATTACTGTATATTAATTTTACAAAGGGGCTTAGCTTCATTCTGATATTTCCATGCATATAATGGACTTTAATCAAATTCGCCTGATTACTCTTTCTTATCTCTCTTCTCCCTCTTTTTAAATAATTTTTAAATGGGTCTCATTATTCTATTTTTATACATGCATAATAAGAATTTTTTTCAAATTTCAGAATATTTGCATGAACTTTACTGGTTGAGTAAAAGTTAGTCCAAAAGCCCCAGATCTAAGCAGGGTGCCAATGGCTCACACCTATAATCCTAGCTACTAGGGAGGGCCACTACACCTTGAGCTACTCCACCAGTCCGTTTTCTCCTGATGGGTTTTTTCAAGATAGGGTCTCGCGAACTATCTGCCCTGGCTGGCTTCGAACTGCCATCCTCCTGATCTCTGCCTTCTGAGTAGCTGGGATTACAGCGTGAGCCACCAGCACCCAAATTTCTTTCAAGACAGTCTCTCTATGCAGCCTGGGCTGGCCTTGAACTCATGATCCTTCTGCCTCAGCTTCCTGAATGCTGGGATTACAGCTGTGCACCACCATGCCTGGCTTCCAATTCTTTAGGATGCATTTCAAAAGTTGTAACAACAGTGATATACACTCTTCACTTTTATCCTCTGTACACACATTCAGCTGTATTTCTGCTGTCCTGGGCTCTAGCCTCCTGAAATGCAGAGGCTGCTGTCTCTCAGTGGAACCATTCCAGGACACACTCAGGGCCTGGCTTGGACACCTGTTTTTTTAGCACCAGGGTTTGAACTTGGGGCATCAAGCTTGCTAGGCAGGTGATTTACGGCTTAAGCCACTACACCAGACCTTTTTGTGATTCCTTTTTCCCAAGATAGGGTCTTGCAAACTATTTCCTCAGGCCAACTTTGAACTGTGCTCCTTCTGATCAATGCCTCCTGAGTAGCTGGGATTACAGGCACAAGCCACAGTGCCCGGCTCACCTGTGGGTCTTCTGACTCCTTGGTCAGATAAACCCGGCAGTGGCCGAGGGACAGGTCACTCCCGTATGAAGTAGGAGGCACACTGTGTCCTGGGCCAGGCCCTGCTCTGAGCATCACCCCATTCAGCTCCGACAAGGGCCTTAGGAGGGAGAACATTTTATTATCTCCATTTTATCGCTGAGGGAATGCAGGTACAGAGGAGATGAGTGGATCAGTTAGGACTTCATGAAGGGACGGGGCTGGGGTTGAAACCCAGCCAGGGCACAAATGCCGCACGGTCCTGCAGTGTGACTGTAGCCATGTGGAAATTGTCCTGCACCATATTCCAGCAGGATGGAGGGGAGCCCTGGAGAGACACGGGGTTCAGCTTTCAGGAGGGCACACCACGAGGGCCCAGGTGGGGTCTGGTGCCAGAAACCAGCCAAGAGCCTTCTGGACACGCTGTGTGCCCAGGAGCAGATCAGCAGATTAGTACAATAAGCCTGGCATCAGCGCATCTGCAAGGGCAGAGGGTCAGAAACGGTGACATCTGTGACTTTCCAAGAAGGATCTGTCATTTCCCTGTGTGAACCTCCTCCCGGGGAGGGATCCCCAAGTCACTAAGCCGACAGCCCACCTCGAGGGTGGACAGGCCTACCTCCAGGGGCAGGTTCCACGCGATGTACACGTGAGACTTGTAGTCGTCCATCCACACCTCGGCCACCCGCAGCGCGTTCCTCTTGGTGTAGAAGCCGATGTTGCTGTTGTAGGGTTTCTTCTTCCGCTCGATGTGGGCCACCCGTGAGCAAGGGAGGACCTCCATGCTGCCCCCGCAGAGCCACACCTGGAGACACAAAGACTCCATCAGCCTGGCGGGGCCATTCCCACTGCCACCGCCCCCCTCCAGGCCCCAAAGCACGCTGAGCCAATTCAGCACAGAGAGATACGATGAGCGTGTAAAGCCACTCAGATTCCGAGGTTGGTTTGTTATCACAGCATAGCCTGACCTGGCCTGACCGAGACACACAGGACAGGTGGCCCTGGAGATTGCCTACAGCTCCAACGGCTCACGGTAGAAAATTCAGCTCTGGGTGAGTCCTAAGCCTGACACACCCAGCGGGACACATGGGTTTTCTGAAGTTCCCAGCACTGTGTGACTGGCATTCCTCCCTCCCTGCCCTGCCTCCTTCCTTCCTCCCTCCTCTTCTCCCTGCATTCTCTCCCTCCTTCCTCCCTTCCCTTCCCTTCCTTTCTCCCTTCCATTTTCCTTCCTTTTTCCCTCCATTTCTCTCTTCCTTCCTTCAAATCCCAGTACCACCAAAAAGGAAAAAGAAATGAAAAGAAGTGAATCCTAAAGTTCGTATGAAAATACAAGGGACTCAAATAAATGAAATGGTCTATGGTGTTCACTTCTTAATTTCAAAACTTCATACAAAGCTGCCAGAATCAAGACAGTATGACACTGTCATAAGGACAGACAGATAAGCCAATGGGATAGAGCAGAGTTCAGAAATAAACCTGCACGTTTATGGCCAAATAACTTTTGACAAAGGGGCCAACACAATTTAATGGGAAAAGAATAGTTTTTTTCCAACAAATTGTGCTGAAACAACATGCAAAAGAATGAGTAAGGATTCCTATCTCACACTACACATGCAAATTAACTCAAAATGGATCAGAGACCTAAATGTAAGAGCGAAAACTACAAAACCCCTAAAAGAAAAACATAAGGGCAAATCCTCATGAATATTCATTAGGCAAGTGTACAACAAGTGATGAATGGATAAACAAAGTGTAGTGTTGGGGTGCCCTGGAACATTAGTTGGCAGTGAAAAAGGAAAGGCCGGTATACACTACACCGTGAATGAGCCTAAAAAGTGTGATAAGTGAGCAAAGTCAGTCACAAAGGACCACGTGTTATGTTCTATTTATTTGAGATGTGCAAAATAAGACAGTCCAACCACAGAAGGCAGACGGACAGTGACCTAGGACAGAGGAAAATGGAGGGACTACCAGTGAGTATAGACTTTCTTTTTAGGCAGAAAATGGCATAATATTGATTGTGGTGATCTGTGCAGAATGCTCAGAGGGTTCTAAAAATCGTTACAGTGCACACTTTCAGCGAGTGAATTACAGTGGCGGGAGCGTGTCTCAACAAAGCTGTTTATTAAAGATGTGCCGACACAGAGAAGTGAGTTACAGATTCATGGAGTGGATCAGGTTGTGGGGACTCAGGAGGACAAAGAGTTCTGTGAGGACTCTTTTCTGAGCAGGGGTCAGACAAACGAGGGGCCTCGGCCAATGCCCCAAACCATCACAAGAACAGAAGGACCAGGTGGCACCGGAACCCGCAGCCAGGCTCACTCGCTGCCAAGTTCTCCATGAGCAGTGCAGTCCAAGGCCACGATTGTCCCAGTGCCTGGGGGACGGCCACACTTGTGAGAAGGTCCAGTGATGTAGCTGCTAGGATGGGTCAGAGAACAGAGGAGCTGGGAGGAGCCCTGTGCCAGTGTACTTAGCGTCCTGAGCCAGAGAGGGAGGTGGTGGTCCCGGCTGGGGGATGACAGCTCTGCCCAGGTGTCCCCTGGGTGGCAGGGGACACATCTGTGGTGTGCCTCAGGTGGTGCAGTCAGTGGGCACCGACTCAGAGCCACCCCCACTCTTCCTGCAGAGTCTGGGAGGGGGCGGACACTCACCCTGCTGAGCAGAAGGCCTGGCCTTCTGTTAGGTACAGGAAACCTGGGGTGAATGGCCTGGGTGAGGGCTGGCCTGTAATATGGCACCACCTGGCATACACGAGGTCCCGGCCCTCAGCCTGTCACCTCCACTGAACTGACTCACTGCAGCCAACAGCTCACATCTTGCGTGACACGGGAAACGCCGTCAAGAGCTCCCATGCGGCAAAGCCCTCTGCACATACCCGGGTCAGAGGCAGTGGCGCACGCCTGTAATCTCAGCTACTTGGGAGGCAGAGACAAGAGGGTCACGGTTCAAGGCCAGTCCAGGCAAAGTTAACAAGGCCTCTTCTTATAAATGACAACAACAAAACCCAAAAGGGCTGGGGGTGTGGCTCAAGTGGCAGAGTGTGTGCCAAGCAGGTGTGAGGCTCGGGGTTCAATCCCCAGTACTGAAAAAAGAAGAAAGTAAGTAAGTCCAGGCGCCGATGGCTCACACCGTAATCCCAGCTAGTCAGGAGGCAGAGATCAGGAGGATCGCAGTTCAAAGCCAGCCCAGGTAAATAGTTCTTAAGACCCTGGAGGAGTGGCTGAAGGTGTGGTCTCTGAGTTCAAACTTCTGCTTCTCTTCCTGATCCTCCATTTCCTCTGACCGCCTCCCTCCCCAGAGAGGACAGTGTCCCCTCTGTCTGCCCCAGAGCCCAGGACCAGTGAAGTGATTTCAGCAGAGCTGTGAATGCTAGCTAGCACCTCATTAAGTCTTTGCTGAAGAGGAAATGGAGCTCACAGAGGTGACTAAGGTCCTCATCCCCCACAATCAAAGTGGGGAGGCGGAACCCCACTCTTACCTGGGGCTGCAGCAGCAGGCCCACCCTCACCTGGTGGTGCTGATGGTGCAGTCCTGCCCATTCAAGGACAGAAACCTTTGGCCACAGACCCTCTGTATTCTCCAGTCACAGCCTTGTCCCTTGCTCTGGGAACCCGACTGTGCCTCCTTTCTTCCTTGTAACTTAGTGAATGAGGGGAACACAGAAGGGTCCCCTGAGGCTGTGAACATGTCCCAAGGAAGTTCAGTGGATCTTTGGTGGCACCAGTGACACCCTCAGGGTCAGGGGTCAACTCCTCCTGCTGCACCAAGCAGTCGGGTTCTTCGAGGGGACCAAGAAAGGAGCCTGCGAGCTGAGTGGTCCTGGGGGCTCTGCTCTGAGTTGGCTGGGGGTGGCCACAGGCTAAGCTCATGGTTTCTCTAAGTGACAACACATTGATGTGACATCTGTCAGTGGCCAAACAACTGGGTCCAAACAGCAGAAGTGAAGAAATTCAAGAAAGTGGACTGAATGCCTTTGGGTCTTAGCAAGAAACCAACAGGTCAGCAAAGGCTATACCAAGGAATATTCCAGAAGGGAAGTGAAATTCCACCTCAGCCTCTGATGTCCCCCAAGAGTCTGGAAGCAAAAAGGGAGCTCCGCCAACAGCGAGTGTGCTGTCCCGAGCACAGTGAATCCCAAGGAAGGGTCCTGAGGATCCGTTCTCTGCATTAGAGTTTGTCATCCAAAATGGTGGCTCTTCCTGGAGGTGCTAGGAGAGCACGGATCCTGGAGGGCAACTCACAGAGGGGTGGGGATGAAAGCCTGATCAACACATCTCAGACAGGACACCAACCAACTCACTGACTGACTGCCAGTGCGTAAAGGAGCCCGACCAGTGCCCCATGGAGTGGGCCAGTTGACCAGATGACCTCCCAAAGCTTAGCCCAAATTCTGGTGGAAGGAGCTTCCCCATGGAAGAAAACCTCAGACTGGGGCTCCTCACAGGTCACCAGATGCCCAGGAAGGGGGTGCACCCCAAGCTGTAGGATCTGTCCTGGGGCCGGGCTCTGGGTGGCCCCAGTGCTAGAGGAATGGGGAGGTGTCCGTGGGCCAGCAGGATGTGTGGTGACTTCTGGTACAGGTGTTCACTCATTAATTTGTTCCTCAAAAAATTATCCATTCTCGGGCTGAGGGCGAGGCTCAGAGGTAGAACCCTTGCCTTGCACGAGCGGGACGCTGGGTTCTATCCCAGCAGCACGAAAAAAATTATGAAAAGCCTGAAGTTTTGAGCCATCTACTTTCAGCTGGCTAGAGGAAATTTCTAGATGGTTTCTCCCTGATCAAGCCTGGCTGTGCTGGCGTGTTGATGGATTGTCCTCATGTGTAGTGACTGTCCCCTCTCAGCTCCAGGCCTGTGTCTGCAGTGTGAGGGACTGAGACGTCAGAATCTGCCCAACCCTCTTTGGCACACGTGGGCACCGGGGCCCCTTCTCCTCCTCTCTGAGCAGCATTGATTGGTGTCCCCACCCACAGGACCGGTGGGTGACAACCAAGGATGCCCATGCCGTCTGTCCTGGAAGGCCAGGTCTGCAGCCTCAGGTCACCCAGGGATGACACAACCTCTGGCTTCCCCAGGGCTGAGCCCAACACCTGGCTTGGCTGTCTTGCAGGACATTACTGCTTCCTGCACACGGGCGTCCAGCTTTTATTCCTAAGAGAGGGATGAACACGGGGACGCCACAAAGAATTCCAAGAGGGTTGACAGGTCAGCCAAGCTGTAAAGGGGTGTCTGGAAATGAAAAGCCCCCCAGGAGTTGCCAGCAAACTTGCTGGCTGCACGCACATGCCCAGACCTGAAGTCACAGAAAATTTCATTACCATCTCTTAGGAAAGATGAGGTCACAGTTGACACTGTCATGTCACGCACATCTAGAATGTGAGAGAAAAAATTCACCCTTATCTAAAAAGCCTACAGAGTGCACGATTCCAACTATGAACCTTTGGAAAAGGCCAAACCATGCAGACAGGAAGCAGATCCTTGGTTGCCAGGACTAGGGTGACTGGGTGTTACGGTTTGAATCTAGAAATGTTCCCCAGAGGCTCATGTGTCGAAGGCTTGGTGTCCGGCAGGTGGCACTGTCCAGAGGTGATTGGGTCATGAGGGCTTTGACTTGATCAGTGGATCAACCATTGATGAGTTCATGGCCGAATGGGCCATTGGGAGGTGGACCCCAGTTGGGGAAAGCAGGTCACTGGTGGGGCTTGTGTGTATCTTGTCCCTGAAGCCCTCCTGTTTTCTCTGCCTCCTGGCCACCATGAGGGGAGCAGTGCTCTCCACCATGTGCTCCTGTCGCCATGAT